AAATGTTACATTGCATAAATATGGTGTTACCTTTGACCTGAAAATTTCGATTTTAATGTAATTTGGGCCAGCATTACGAATTCAGCTAGAATTAAGAAAATTTCAGCCAGAATTAAGATCTGAAAATTGTCAATTTTAGCCATTTGTACCAACTTTGGCCAACCTTAAGTTTACATATATACTATATGCCATATAGCCATACTTTCCCAATAATTTATATTGAGATATCATAGTACAAAAAATCTCTCTCTAATTTTTGGGGACATTTCCACTGACTGATATACATATTTATTTATTTATTTATATAATATTTTATACAAAATAAAATCTAACTTGCTTTAAAAATCATTATTATTATACAAACAAATTTCTGACTTATCAAATAATTACCAATTGGCTATACAAATTCAAACACATGACTTATCAGAAAATTACATAGTAAGTCTATATAAAATCGGATCCCAGTATTATATATAATGTTTGGGGTCCTATTCTACCCATCTATTTAAAAATCACGTGTAATTATACAATGCTCTATTAATTACAGCATTAACTGATTAATATATTATGAAAAATTAGTTTTTATTTGATTAGCAAAGATAATTTGATTCCAAATTTCCAATACATAATATTTTAGAACAATTTATACCTGTAAAATATTAATTCGTGATCTGCCAGTGAACCATAAAATTTGACCATTAAAAGGTGGTGATAAGAACATATATATTTTTATCAATAATTTAGAATCTGCAATTCTGAAGAAAAAATATGGGATAACTCGCCTTCTATTGGTCATGGAGACATAAAATTATTACCATTAGATGCGTCTTGACAAGACGAATCCGATGAACCAAATTTTATTTTCTTACGACCACTAGATGATGAGTTATCTTTAAAATTTTTAAAATACTAAATTTTTTTTTTTCAAATTCAAATTTTCAGCTCTTATGAAAGTGTCTTTCGGTGCTTAAAATTTTACCGGTCTTTTATTACTAAGATAGCCAAATGGCATATTTTTATGCCTATAATATTAGTTTTTTATATTATATTTTAGTAATTTGTACATTGCATTGCCGGAACTGTAGATTCTGCGCTATTAGTAAATATATATATAACTTTCACCAGAATTTAATAGCCAAGTTTTATGGTTCACTGGCGGATCACGAATTAAATATCAAATTGAATTAACTCTAGAGAATATTTAGCTATTATTTTCATAAATAGAAAATTTTATTTTTACTAATAATAAATTACTTCAATTTAACAATTCAAATCTTGGTTTAGACATTTTAGTAAATTTATTAATATTATTTTTTATAAAATTGCTGGAGGCGATCATTGCCAGTGTCACGTGATTTTTAATAATGTTTCCGTTTTTACTATGTATTCTAGGGACTTTTGAATTTTTTTAGTATGAAAAATTCTATTTGTCACCCTTATTCGTCACATCCCATTAATTTCAGCTAAATTTTATAATTCTGGCCAAAATTGCCTTTTTGGAAACTTGAGTAACGTTATACAATCCAAAAGGGCAATTTTATTTCTCATATGGTGCATAACACCTAAAGGCATCAATAGTCCGAAATTTATTTTTATGCTGATCATTACCAAATATAGTTAGATTATTACTAAATAAAGTTAGATTATTACTAAATTTGGTAATAAAGATGTTGATCATTTTATGTATTATAAATTAAATTAATATGATTGGTTAAAATCATTTTCACGTGATTAAAAATTCCGAATTTTTCTCATTTACATATAAAATTATATAAATTAATATAAAAATACATCAACTTTAAATCTTAATAGCTCCTAAAATATGTCAGTTATGGAAAAAATAATCCGATAATTTGAAAGAGAAGAACTTAAAGTATAATATTATCAGTTTATATTTTCAATTATCATAAAATTTTATTAAGTAGTTAACATTTTAAAATCACTAATTTTATTTGATGCCTTTAGATGTTATGCACCATAAAAATCGAGAAAATGGGTTACACAAGATTCCAAAAAAGGCAATTTCTATATCGATCATTTAATTCCGGCCAAATTAAAAAATCACGTGACGCCAGCGATGATCGCCGCCGGCGATAAATAGCAAACTCCTATTTTTTATTATATTATTATTATATTATTAATGTAATAAATATTCAATTGTTATTCAGTATAATTGAATGATATTTAACTATTATTTGATCAAGTTGAATATAGATCAAATAGTAGATCATTATTAATTTAGGTTAAATAATTTTGATTTTGGTCAAATATAAGTTGAATTGTTATAAGATCAAATATTTCATTTTAACTAATAAGGCTATATATATAGGGTTTAATATAATAAATTAATGAAGGTTTTGAATGAAGAAGAAATTTTTTTTCTATTTTGAAAATTCTAGCATTTATTCTGAATATAAAGGTTAAGATTCAAGCTTTTATTCAATGATTATAATGTTATATATCTATATTATTATAAACTAATAACTTTATAAATGTTAGGCAAGACAATGAAGATGATACATATAAAAAAAATCAAAAAATCATTTATTTTCTTAGCCAATTACTAATATAGGTAACTTTGAGTATTATTTACTATCTCATGAGTTACAAAAATTTTTTCTGAAAATTTTTTACATGTAATTTATTTTTCTATTGATAATTCTGACAGATCACCTTGAGCTAAATTTTTTGTGAATGTACACTTTTATAATAATACCCTATAAGTAAATTTATAACTTTTAATCATTCAGAATAAGTAATTAGTATCACATTTTGAATCATTTATGTGAAGTTTTAGAGTTTTGCTAAAATCAGATCTAATGATTTTATGTGTAATAGTGCATCTAAAAAATAAATATTCTGTATAATGCTAGAAAAATAAGTCATGATTTATGATAACTTATCAGTATCTGAAAGTGTTTTAGAACTGTCATAAAACTGTAAAGTGATACTTATGATATGATATACTCTATATATACAACATTTTTAGCTAAATTTTTGGTATATTTATAATTAAATAAAAATGAATCTAATATTTTATTATAATATATTGACTAAAACTTACTAAAAATACTATAAATCAATAAAATCACTATGTATAATAACTCTGCTATAAACTGCTAAAATTTTACTAAATGGTTTTGGAAGTACTTATGAGAAGTATTTGAAATATGCTGATTTACATCGCATTAAGGAATAAGAATGGTAAAACTCTGTCTGACTGAAAAAATAGGATTTGGAATCATCTAATGTATTTTCAGAATAAAAAATATTATACATATAATGATTATAATGTGAAAGATTACTTTTGTGCTGCCAAACCTTTGCCAAGACCCCGGAAACTCTATATAAAGGTTGGTCTAAATTTTGAGAAATTTACTATTATCTTTACCCAGTTTAAGCCAAAAATTTACTAGTATCATTACCCAATTTAGAAATAACCTGAAATATTTTTCTAATATATATTACCCAAAATAAAAACAACCTATTATAATTTTTATATAAGTAATTTATTAATAAAATGCGATATATCATACAAATAACGTGTTTTTTTTAATCCAGAATTGATACCAAAATATTAACTATATGTAAAGATGTTAGCCGTAACTGTAATATTAAGACACAGTGTCGTATGTAATAGGTTGCAACCTATCTACATTAAAAAGCAAAAGTTGTAATGCTGTAATTAGGTTGTAATGCCATAATTAGGTCGTAATACTGTAATTAGGTCTTAATGCCGTAACTAATCCGTAATGCCGTAATTCCGAAATTACGTATGTAATTTCGGCCAGAATTATGCACTTAATTTTAGCAGAAATTAACAAATATCCTAAAAAGGAAAGTGTTGTTACACAAAATTCCAGTGTCGTTCCCACTAAAATCAATTTTTGTGGAACGGCTATCGCCAAAAAAGGAAAGATCCGCATTCCCGTTTTGGCTGAATTATGATTTTCGGCTGAAATTACATGTTTAAGTGAAATTACGTTAATTTCGGCCGGAATTATATTTCGGATTTCGGATTTCGGATTTTAGGAAATATGTGACCGTGTAATTTCAATTTTAGGGTAAATAATATCAAAAATAATAATAATAATAATTTTTTTTTTTTGTAAAAAAGTTTATATGTAAATTATGCATAAAATCATCTAATTATTAAAGATATTATGCTAATTTAATATAAATTTTTTGAAAAAAACTTAATATTTCCCACCTTCCATCCTGACCATCCACCCCTAGGGATTTTAGTTCATTATATAATTTTTTTCTTTACACGAACGCGTATACAAAATACAAAAAAAAATGCGACGCGTCTTATGTACCCCCTAAAAATTAAAATTACACGACATATAAACTATTGTAATTTACTTTTATAATTCATTACTTTTATTTTAAATTTTTATGCCATTAAAAATTACGACATTACAGCCTAATTATATATAGCATTGCGACCTAATTACAGCATTACAACCCAATTACAGCATTACGGCCTAATTACAGTATTACGAAAAGTGTCATAACTGTAATGCTGTATGCTGTAATATTACGGCATCGGCCAATCAATTACGGCTAACATCTTTAACTATATGTTTTTGTGAAAAAAAATCAAAAATTTCCCAAGAATTTCCTATTAAACATAAACGACCAATTAGATTAACAACTGTTGAATTGGTGTAAATTATATCTGAGCTATTATCAAAGTGATAAATAACTTGTTTTGGAGTTATATGTGCAAATAAATTGCCTCCCGTTTTACTTGCTAGAGAAAATAAATTGTCATCAATATTAATATATGTGGGCGAACCTACAGCAAAAGGTGGGGCTCAGACAGATCACGTGATTTTGAGATTTTTTGAAAATCAGATGCTTATTGGTCTTAACTTTATGGGGGTATTTTTTTCCATTAAGATATATTTAGTAAAATAATTTGCAATTCGATTTTTTTTCTACTGCATTATTTCGTAAATATCGTAAATATCGTAAAATTGCTTTTTAATAAAAATATGGAGTATGGTATTAGTTCTATTAAAGATGATGCAAATAAAACTATTTTAACTGCTTTAGAAGATCTAGATAATACATTTTTTACCGAATATTCATACTCTGAAGATGAAAAAGAGCCTAGTTTTATACCAAATGATGATGATGATGATACCGAATTAATAGATTTATCGTTAAAAGTAGCTAATATTCATTTAGATAATTTTGAATTTAAAGAAAATCCCGATAGTTATATTGAAGATGAGGTTTATAAACGCTTGAAATTAAAAGTTGATGAATTTTTTTTAAAAAAAAAGTGTTCATGCCGTTCTTCTGATCAACCTTGTTTTATGAAAATTGGCTATGAACGTTTTCTTGCACGTCGAATTGAATTTGAAAGCTTGGACAAAACAATGCGAGATATGGTTGTTAAAGGACAGCTTATGGCCTTTCAAAAGGATGAAAATACACGAAAAGTTAATAGTAATGATAGAAAATTTGTGCGCTTTAATTATTGTTATAATAATGATCTTTTAATTTGTCATACAACGTATGAAAATCTTATTGGAGCTAGTCATAAATATTTAGATACAATTATACAACATTTACGAGAACATGGTATTGAAGAACGTGTACATGGAAATACTGGTAGAGCTCCTAAAAATATGAAACGTATAGAAGTTAATTATGATGTAGCAAACGACGTACAAGTATTTTTAAAAAACTATTCAAATGTACATGGTATACCTTCGCCCGGGTGACATTGCAGTGAAAATACTATACCGGTCGTATTTCTTCCAACAAGTTACAGCTATTCTTCAGTATACCGTGACTATGTAAATGCTTACAAGGATAAGCATGGAGCAGAAACTCGTGTTATGGTCAAACAAACTTTTATTAATATTTGGAAATCTTTAATGCAATCGCTCCAATTTATGTCTCCAAAATCGGATTTGTGTGAAAATTGTGAGTTAATGAAGATGGACATTCGGTATATTATACAACATGAGAAAAAATTGGAATCTACAGAAAATTACCTGGCCCATTTAAAACGTGCACAACAAGAGCTAGATTATTATAATTCAAATATTGCACTTGCAATTGAAGATGGCCGAAATAATTCTAATCCATCCGGATCTCAAATATTATTCAAAACTTTTGAGGGAAGTGCTCACATTGCATATGACTGGGCGCAAAATGTACAAATCCCCCACTCACCACAACAGGTAGGATCCTTGTTTTTCAAAAGTCCACGAAAAGTGCATTTATTTGGTGTTTGTAATACTGGCAACTATCCTAATACACAACAGATTAATTATTTTATTGATGAGGGTGAAATGGCTGATGACGGCAAACAAGTAAAGGGTGCAAATTGTACATTAAGTTTGGTTTTACATGCAATTCAAAAATATAATCGTGGAGAAAAAAAATTAATTGTTGCATGTGATAATTGTGTAGGGCAAAATAAAAATAACTTCACCTTATTTTTTTATTCATGGTTAATTGATCGTGGTATATATGATGAAATAGAATTAAATTTTATGATACCCGGACACACAAAATTTATTTGTGATGGTTGTTTTGGTCTAATTAAGATACTCTATCGAAAAAGTATAGTGAATACAGTGGATGATGTTGTTTCAATTATCAACCGTTCCACTACAAATAATTTCAATATTGCTCAGCGTTATTTAAATGGAAAAGGGTTTCAATATTACGATTTTAAGAGTCATTTTCAAATGTTTAAAAAATTACCTAACATTCAAAAATATCATCATTTTTATTTTTCTTCACAACACCCTGGAGTTGTCTTTTATAAAGATAAACTTGAAGATGTTTATGAAAAAACTACAATTCGTACTTTTTCTTATGCCATCAACATTTTACCACCTATAATTGCTTCTAGACCCCTTTCCTTAAAAAGACAAGAAGAATTATATAAAGAAATTGCGCCTTATGTTGATGTACCCTTTCGTGAAATTACTTGTCCTAAACCTGAACTTCAAAATGAGTGAAAATAAATTTTATTTTTTCGTATATAAGACAAAAACTTCATTATTACTCATTTTTTACATTATAAAACTTACATTTTTTATGATTTTTACGCTATAAAACTTATATTTTTTACATATAAACATAGTTTATAATTGTAACAATAAAAAATTTACAATTTCATTGATTTGAAAAGTAATGTTTCGAAATAAATAAATTTGTTATGTTTTTTCTTAAACTTGTATAAAGGTTATGCTCTCATATATTCAATAATACAAATAAAACAAGGTGTTAAATGGAAGCTAATATATTCAAAATATTGCCTGTAAAAATTTTTCTTTTATTATAAAAGTCAATATTAAGAACTTCGCAGTAAATCACATGAAAATTACGTAAAAACTTTAATTGCGATTTTCTCAAAATCACGTGAATGTCCGAGCCCCACCTTTTGCTGTGGGTTCGCCCATGTGGCAACTGAAATATAAGATAAAGAATCTATATGTTTTGAAAAAGAAATATAAGCATGTCGCTTAGATACTAATTTATATATTGACAATACTTTTCCTAGTAATATCTCTTCTTTTGATATATATAAAATAAAATTATTTTCTTGTAATGGATTATTATCGGTTATATTTGCATAGGAAATATTTGAAGCTATTATTTAGAATAATAAATAAATATAATAAATAAAAACTAGTGTTCACCTGTTGTCTACGACAACAGTTAATATGTAATTCCGGCCAGAATTAAAAGATCTGCAAAGAATTTCCTTTTTTTGGAAATTTGAGCAACACAATTTTTTAATTTCTCTGAAAAGTAACAGAAGACAAAATTTCCTTTTTTGGAAATTTGTGTAACCGAAAATTTCCTTTTATGGAATCCTGCGTAACTCAAAATTTCAGTTTTCGCCAGAAATAAAATTTCCTTTTTTGGTATTGTGTAACATTTGTGACGAATAGGAGTAGGGTTACACAATTCAAATGACTTATTTATATGGTTAATCTAAATATAACGCCTACGTGATTGCAGTGTTTTTTAATATATAGATTAAAAAATTAAAATAATGCCTTTACCTTTAACATGTTGAGGTAATCCAATATTCTCAAGTTTTTTCTTCCCATCCATCTTTCTTTTCGTGATCTATTTGTTAATTCAAAAGTACTATCATTTCGAAAAAATTCTGAAACTAATAAATTTGCTGAATTTTGTTTTAATTTTGCCTGATTATTGGATGATCGAATTGCATTTAATTGACAATTTTGGCAAGGTCGTTCAGATCGTGAAAATGCATTATGAGATGCACGAATTTGAATTATTTGTGATATATTCATTGAACCATCTATATAAAACAATTCATTTTTTTCTAATTCAATCATCGGAAAATATTTTTTTGAAGTATTTAGAATATAATCCAATTCTATTTTTGATAAATCTGAAAGCTTATGCTCTTGTTCTGGTTCATTTGTTTGTTGCTCTAAATCTGCTAATTGTGATAATTGTGCTACTTCTAAAGCTGTATTAGTTAAAGAATAATCTTCATTTAAATCAGATTCATCATTATTGAAATCAAATCCACTGATATCATTTATATCATCTGAATTATCAGAACTAATATTTAAATAATTAGAAATTGCCATTGATTGATGTGATGTTCAACCATAAAAGCGTGGAATTGACTTATCATTTAATAGTTTAATTCCTAATACTTTAATAAATTTAGCCGCATCTTCATATGCTATTTTGATTGCATCATGAATAGCATTATCATTTGGCCATATTCGTAAAATATCAATATTTTCATTTGATTTAAAATTTGGATCAAAATCAAATATATATTTTAATAAATAATTAATAAACCAAATAAGTTAATTATATTTATATAAAAATTTGAAATACAATGTTTATTAATTTACCTGATGCTGATGTTTTTTCCTTTTGAATTTGCATATTTTGTCTAATAATTTTGTCCCGGTATGCAACACGTTGTTGAATTTTAAAAAATTCATAAAAGGAAAAATCATTTGTTATTTGACGAGATATACCAAACACATGTTCTATAGCCTCTGTACCATGTTCCCAAGGATATAAAGGGTATGATGAGTAAAATTCACGATGAGATATAATTAAAAGTATTAAGGATTTTGCTAAATTGGTAAAAATTTTAAAACTTTGTGGAGAAATAAAGTTTTTGGCAATAGAAAACATTGAATTATATAATTTACTAGAATCTTCTATATATTCAATCCACATATTTAAAAAAAAATATCTATGCATGGCCATTATAATTCATTCCTTATAAGAAATATTACGATTTAGGTATGAATCAAAAAGATTTCCTATTTAAAAAATAAAAAATCTATTATACACAAATATAATAATTATATAATAAACATTAATTATTTATTACCTAACACAAATAGATAAGTAAATAAAGATTGCATTTCATTATTTTCTAAACCAGTTTGATATATTTGTGCTAATATGTCTGAATGAAATACTCTATACGCGGCCCCATCATCCTGTTTATCAACATTAACAACATCCCGCATATAAAGCGCATGATCTGGAGATTGAGCAAGAGTTAAGAGATGTCGGTAAAGTATTACATTATTCCCAAGTACAAGTAGTCTTGCGCCTGAATGAAGTTGATTACGAGCTGTTTTCTTAGCATGTTTGGGATCTTGTACAGTTATGATAGGTAAATTTCGATAAATTGGCATCTATACATATTAATTTATTTAATAAAAATTTCTTTTTAAAATCATACTTTTATTATACTATAATCACCTGGAAATGTACATTATAATAATTATCATGAAATTCAAAAAAAGTTTCAGCTTTTTCACTATTCATTATTAATTATTACGCATTATATTCAACAGGAGCACCATCTGATCCCAAACTAACTAAATTAATACCTGCATCTCAGGACATGGTTATTACATTTATTAGAAGGTCATAAATTTCTGCAGCATTAGATCCCCCATTTGTTGGTAACATAAAAATTACAAAAGGCAGAATTTTTTCAATTGGAATCTAAAAAAATACTTAAAATGTAAATAATTTTTTAATTAATTTTTATATTATATTTAATTCATACCTTTAATACTATTACTCTAACTTGAGTTGCAATAGCTTTTTTTTGTTTTATATAATTTATAACATTATGAATATCATCATATGTTTGAACCGAAGTCTCTGATAATTTTAAAGTAGATCTAACAATACCATCTAGTTCATCTGAATAAGTAAATTTAGGTCGAATTTTTGTACAATCTGTCATTCCAACAACAAGTCCATTCCAATTAAGTGCTTTAATTAACTGAGAAAATTTTAGTATATTTTCATATATTAATTCTGGATTAGTCACAACATCAACTTCTTTTGCTCGCAGGTATCTTATAGATCGAACGCTCATTCCTGCAAATATTTGTCTAAAAATCTCATATTCACGACTGCTCTCTGATAATAAACTAAAAAATTGTTTTAAGTGTTTAGAATAACGGAGACCTGTAGTTTTTTTGTTTCTTAATTTTTTTCCCTGTATTTGTATCATTAGTGATACTAATTCTTGAAATGTTTTTTCTCCTTTAAAAAATCCATCTTTTCCGAATTGAGCTAATTTAGTCCAAATTGCCGTATTGTCATTATCTTCATCAGCTTATTCCCATAATGATTTGAGATTTTTATTAAGAAGTAATTTGCTTAAAGGATGTTCAAGATAGCATTTTGGAATAAAGCGAATATTTTTTCCAGTTGCTCGCCGCTATAAATACAAAAAAAACAGATGATTAAATTTAAACATAATAAATACATAATATGGTTGAACTCGTACCTTATTAATTGCTTTAATTAGGCGATTATCCCTTCTTAATTGGTCACAGTTATTACAAATACCTGATTCTCGGATTGTAAAATTTTCACATGCTTTGCTTCTGACGGATATAGTAGTTTTATCTAATATCCACGTAGCACATGCACGTAGATAATTTTCGAGATCATCACAATTTGCTGTACTAAGACTCTTTAATCTAAGTTTCATTTTAATAGTTTCGGGAAATAATTCTTTTGTGGCTATATCAGGTCTAACTGATCCCCCAAATTCAGCAGGACTATTAAGTACATACAGTCAAACCTCTATATACCGATATTGCTGTTTTGGGGAAAAAGCATCGGTATATTGAATTATCGGTTTATAAAAAAAATTTTGTATACCGATATTATTATAAATAACGTGATTAATATCGGTATAAGTATTTTAATATATATAAACATGCAACTTTATTCTATATTTATAAAATTCAAAAAATTTATTAACAAAATTGTATCAATTATATCAATTATGTATTACATTAGGGATTAGAAGTAAATATCAATTATATAATTACGTTATTAGGATTAGAAGTAAAATAGCTATCTAATGTAGCCTGCTTTAAATCGGTGATATGTGATCTTAATACTTCATGTCTCAATTTTTGTAATGTATTTAATTCACTTTGATTAATAGAATTATTTAACGATGAATATTTAAAAAACATAACAAGATCATCCAAATCATTTAAGGTCTGAACTTTTGAAATTACCGATGGAATTTCTTCATCAGATTCAACTTCTAGTTCATTTTTATCTAAATTTACTAAAGATATAATTTCTTTATCAGTCAGCCCTTTATTACTTTTTAGATGATCATCAATATGAATAAATTCATCCGCGTCCATATGATCATCAAATGGGAGTTGATCAATTAGAAATTGTATTTCTTCCCGTTCCACTTGATTATTATCTTCTCCTAATTGATTAACACTTTCATTCACTTTCTCTTGATTTACTAATGGAAGTATACCTGTATGCTTCCAACAATTATAAATTGTTTCTTGTGTTACTGCATTCCAAGCATTTGTACAAAAAACAATAGCATCATGAATATTTAAAGAATCGGCTCCTTTATTCAATTGCTGTGAGATTTCATATGCTTCAACCCTATTTTTTACAAGGAGTTTTCGATACTTCGCCTAAAATT